ACACACACACACACACATACCTGACTCGGTATCAATTAATATAAAAATCATTATATAAAACCATTTTCTAAATGGCTCTGATCCTTTCCAAAAGGTTTCTAAAGCCTAGAAGGCAGCAGAGATATGAAAATCCACACGTTAACCTTAGAACCTAGAAACACAGTGGGGTCAAGTGTTCAGCCAGCAGTTCCCAAGGAGAACAATGAGACAGTCTGTTTCGGATTCACAGCTTCGGAACCTACGGGGCAGTTGTGCTCCTCCTGAGGGGCGTGATGAGTTGGTGGCAATCTGAAAGGCCACGTGAAAAGAGAGTGACTGAAAACGGAATCTGCCAAGGTTAAGGGACCCTTTACCATTTCAGGGTCTAAGTCTTGGCCTGTCCAACTTTGCAACTTGTTTGTGAGTTCCTATCCATAGCAGGGAAGGAGCTCTGGTAGCGTAGTGGTTACAAATTGGACTGCAAACCTTAAGGTCAGCAGTTCGAAACTACCAGCCACTCTGCGGGAGAAAGATGAGGCTTTCTGCTCCCGTAAAGATTTACAGCCTCGGAAACCCTGTACAGGGTCGCTATGGGTCGGAATCGACTCAACGGCACTTAACGACAACATCCATAGCAGGGAGGCCTTTGCATGTCTTTCACAGCACTCTGAACTATTTGCGTAAGAAGTGATTTATAAATTTATCCTAATTTCATGACTCAGAGTCGTGGTGTGGAGCTATGGGATAAGCACTGGATTGCAAATCACAAGGTTGGTGGTTCGAACCTGAACCCTATACAGGGTCAGAGCAGGCTCACAGCACTTCACAACAATAACAACATGATGACTCATGCACGCCGCGGCTATAGTAACAGAAGCAACAGATTCTTACTGAGCTCAGGCCACCATGCCTTTGTTCTAAAGATTCCCTGTGATCTGACATGACTCTGAAGACAAACATGTAAGGGGAAGCAGGTTGGCCCAGGCCAAGTGAGTCCAGTGGACTTTCCGGGGGCAGTCAGCTGGGACCATACTTGGGATACGGATGCCGTCTCCTACTAGAGCTCCCCAGTAGTGGGTCGAAGTACCTGGTGGGCCACACAAGTGCGTCCTAAAGGAGAGGGCATGTCGATCTTGAGATGCTTCTCTTTCCAGCTCTTGGGGTGGCCAGGCAGGGGCTGGGTAGCTGACACGCTTGGGGCTGGTCATCTCTGGCTACTGAAAGCTTTGGGTAGTGCCTGGAATGGCTGTTTGGATCATTTTCTAGGAAAGCTCTAAACATCAACCACTGCTCCAATTTTCCGTCTTTCTTCTGTGTATAAAGTTCCTGGAGCCCTTAGCTCAAAGGGAATCTCACAATAAAGCCAGAGACAGAAAGGACCTTTGGATCCAGCTGGATTCTGAGTTAACCTGCCGTGATGGAAGGTCATCCCAGGTTCTGTAGAAGCCCAAACAGAGGGTTTTCAGATTTAGACTCTGGGAGGTTCAGGGAAGTCTTGCGGGAGGAGGCCAACCCCCTTGCATGGATCTGGCATGACGAAGAGAAATGACTGAGGCATGGCATGGCAAATCAAGGGAATGCCATGTCCCGAGGCACAGAGGCGTGGAGGCACGGAGCACATGGAGAACCACTCATGTCAACCTCCATGGACAATGTATGGGCCCACTGTGAGGCAGAGTTTGAGAAGACCTGCTGTACCTTTCTCTGGAGTTTCTGGGAATTTGTGGGAATAATGTGACCTGGAATCCCAGAGGCAGCCGGGACAGGACAGCAACTGTTAAAGACCAGTTAGGGTTGCATATCCGCTTAGTACGTGAGAAGCTAAGGGAGACCAGGGAGAGCCCAAGAAAACTAAGGGTTACCAGGGAGAGCCCAAGAAAATTAAGGGTCACCAGGGAGAGACCAAGAAAACTAAGGGTCACCAGGGAGAGCCCAAGAAAACCAACCTCAGGATGGTTTCACTGGTGCAGCAGTTTTCGAAAGGGATGACGTAGCCAACTTCATGGCCAATGTTGACGTCCATCTCATCGGCTACCCGGAGGGCAAGCTGGACGGCCATCTGTTTGTGGACCTGGGTGCAGATCACGCCCCCGTGCTGGTAGTGGATGGAGAGGCAATATTCAGCACACCACTGAGGAACCTGGAACGGAAACCAGACAGATCAGCCCCCGCTCCGGAAACAATACAAACCCGTCTTCTAAGAGCCCACACCAAACCCGGTGCCCATGAGCTGATTTTTAGCAACTTGCAAGTGAGAGGAGCGACTCAGAAAAGAGTGGACAAACAATGCGAAGATCGTCGTTGGGGTCACTGAACTGGACATGCAGTGACCACTGAACTGGTGTGTTTTGCTGGGTATATTCACAATCTTCTTCATGTACTGTTTTTTTTTGATACCCATCAATAGGGCCAATGATTTCAGCCATGAAGCAGAGAATTTAGCGCAAGGATGGGAACAGCCTTTCCAAATATCAGTTCAAATAACCGGTGGGAGACCTAACACAAGCATATTGTAATTAATGTGGAGATGTTCACTTACGTGGTCAAGTTGAGTAGAAGTCCTAACTGATGGCTGAGCCCACTGTCCACTCAAGTGTGGCTGTGCCCACAGGGTGGGCGTCCCCTCCCAGTAATGGCCACATGTGGACAATGATGGTGGTGGGGGTGTGCCGTGGAGTCGATCCTGACTCACAGTGACCCTGGATATTGTTTCTGAGGCAGTCAATCTTTACAGGAGCAGAAAGCCTCCTCTTTCTCCTGCAGAGCAGCTGATAGATTTGAACTCCTGACCCTGTGGTTAGCAGCCCAGTTTGTAATCTACTACGCCACCAAAGCTCCTTAGATAACAGCAGTAAATGGAGAAAATGAAAATGGAGAAAGGTTATTCGGGAACTGGAGGAAAGAACCAGGAAAGCACCTGTCTCAGGATCCCACATTCACTTTGAGGACTAAGGTGAGCTTGACCAAGCCATGGTGTTTCCATTCATCTCAGATGTGTGCAAAAGCTGGGCAGTAATAAATAAGGAGTAAGAATAGTTGTGTTTCAATTATGGTGTTGGCAGTGAACATTTAATACAATGGGGCTTCCAAAAATTTATGGAAAAAAAGGACTTAAAAGAATTTGGGATTTTTCCAAGAACTTTATGAAGGGCCCATGTTACACTGTGGTCTGCCAGAAGAACAAACAAATCTGTCTTAGAAGAAGTGCATCCAGGTAACAGGACCCTAGGGCCATCAAGAGGGAAGAACATGAGAGGAGCGAGGGGTCCTGAGCAGAAAAGCGGCGACAACAGAGATGGTGGCAGGGGCGATGGCATAGAGAGACAGAGCAACAGAGGACTCTAGGCCCAGGAACTGACTGAGAAATGCAGCGTGCCTGCGGACAGGAGGCTGGCTTGCAAAATGTGCCCTTTGGATATTTAAACAAATATATATTTACAAC